GATGGCCAGATTCGGATTCGCCAAAGGGTCGTCGACCCTTGGAAGGACAATAAGAAGACAAAATATCACATCACAAGCCAAATGAAGGATCTGGTAGAGCATTTGGGTTTTCGGCGTTGTCTCTGCCGTCTCATTCCTTTCTTCATCGTAAATGTGCCTGAATAACTATAATGTTTTTGGTGCGATCAGAAAACTCATCTGTAAGTAAAGGTAACTGTGATGAAGCCACGGGGAGGGATAGAATTAGTGCGCTATCTCACTCGAAAACAAGACAAGAAGTGCGACGAATAAGGCGCGAAGAAAGCGAAACGCACTAGATCAACAGTGATTTCCATTATGAGGGCGGGCTTGGTATGGGAGTGACACAGCGCTGCTAAGAGAGGGAGAACGCTACACAGCAAGTGGAATGCGAGAGGGAAGAAACGCGATTGAAAAGGCAGCGGTCGTCGGTGGAGCGAAATCATCGGCTCCCTCGTGACCACTCTCAACTCACGGCGGTATCACAATCATGTGATTGGAGGTCCTACTACCTCCCTTAGGAAAAAATTCTCTTATGGACCTGATCACCACCCTTTCCTTCACAGGCACGGATCACTGTCGGTTTCTGCGCTAACCCACTCAAAAGTGACAGAAAAGGTGCGAAGAGGACTAGTGAGGAAAAAATGGAATGGGAAAAGAAGGAGTCACAGAAAACACTGAAATTGAGTACCTCCTTTTCTTTTGGTTTTGACCAGGACCACCTCTTTATTGCGTAAGTTCTCTCCACTGAACAGCCAGAGCATCAGACACGACAACGCGAGGGGGGGGGGGGCGTACCTGGCCAATAGCGCGCCAATCGCGCCGCGGGAAAGGCCATGCTAGATCGCCAATAGCATATCCTTCGATGCGAATTGCGTGTCTGGTCTGCAACCTTATGGGTCCACATGCCTCCTCATAAGGTACGCTTCACCTTTTTCGATCTTCGTCCTTCTCGTAGCTTCCTCCTTAGAGGGGAGGGGAAAACGATTAGGATTGAGAAATGTGTAAAGTGAGCTTGACCTAAGCAAAGTAAGTGGAACCCAGCCCCGGAACGGGTGAAGCGTGCCCTCCGAAGAGTGATGTTCAATACTGGAAACAATATCTCTGTTCCAGGATATTTGAAGGCTAAATAAAGACCTAAATTCGGGATTTGCGATTGTCGCAATCCAATAGCCGGACCCTTCTGTAACGCACGCGTTAGTTTGCAGAGCCGAAGGCTACCCACATATGGCGGGGAAAACTCTCATCAATAACTATAAAACGCTCCATAAAGGATAAAAAAATGATAAAGCACTCGGCGTTGGTAATCCCGCTTTGGGATGCGGCACGCATTCTACTTCCATTTGTATTCGTAGTGGCGTTTGAATGCGATGTGGCCTATACAATGACTTGCGGGGGCCAGCCGATGTACAAGTCAGTGTTTTTATCCTCCCAGACAAGTCTGGTTCTGGTTCGGTTAATAATCGACCCCGGATGAGAGAAAAATTCGGTTGCCCCGGACCACGCATGACCTGGACTATGGTAGCGCTTGCCATTACACCTCTTCAACCGCAGAGGCCCATACCTGCAGAAAATGTTCTTCACACTGTCTAATGAGCGTATAAAGCTCATGTGTGAATAAGCAGATGGTGTGCACAAAATCGAGTCAGCGAAAATAACATAAAGAAAATATGTGCTTACTTGTAAAGCAAGTCAAATATAGAGAGCGCATAGAACATCAGACCGATCATCGATGAATAGACGACAAATGAAAGCATAGAGATGTATTCACGATCAGTTTGGTGCCAACTGAGGGTCACCAAAGAGAATCGCCGAGCGCTGAAATTGCACTGTTTTATGTAAAAGTACATATACTAGTACTGAAAAAGAAAGAAACTCGGAGGAAAATTCTCTAGATCGCTTTCTTATACGCACTCGGTACTTTGCGTGATCTCCACGCCTGCGTTTACGGCAAGAAGAAATGCGATGCTAATAAGAATACGCACGACAACATCAGGGAACAGCTTTTGCCTGCAAAGTTCCATATTTTTCAACAGAAGATTTTATAATTTACAATAAAAGGTGGAAGATTAAAAAACACAAGGCTTGATCAGAACCGTTTTGAGATTTTTTGGGATGCGCCACGTATTCGACTTAGATCTAGACTATTTAAATGCGCAAATGACATGCAATGAGGTATAGCACGAGGACTCGAGGGGCAACCAGTGATCAGCCCACTCTAGGAGCATGGGCGGCGGTCTAATAAGTGTGCTAGTTGTGTTTGAAATCAGCAGACAGGAAGCGAGAAGAAAAAGCATTTTCTTCGTTAGTGTACCGATGTACAACGGCCGATATATAGTACTGCAAGGAGAGGGAATTAACACGAGGGCAATTGCGCCGCGAGAGAGGCGTAGACGCCACGTGTGCTTGCGTTGTGAGAATGACGGGATGACGTGGCAGCCCGCCTCTGGGGTCAGGTAAAAAAATTCAGAGTGCACGTCATTGAAGCATAGGTTAAGCTTGGGCTTAGGCCTACGCGTGTGCTTATGCTTACACATTGGCTTGTGCTTAAGCCTATGATTGGGCCTGGGCGGAGTCCCTGAGCTTGCTTCGCGAGCGAACGAATGGTGTCTCAGATCAAGGTGACCTGATCTGAGGAGGAGAACTGCAACGTACCCTGAGATTGCAGCTGTTGCAACGGTCAGGCGAAGGCATTGGCTCTTCATAGCGCACGCTCAAGTCGCGACAGTACCACCACCCACACGTGAGGGTTTATAATAAGCTCAATTAAGGAGGGAACTTCTTCCACGGACCCGAGCATTTTAAACGTCTGCACAGGCCAAGCCTGTTGTCAACGTTAAAAATTCACGAAGAAGAAGCAAACTAAGACAGATTGTAAGTTTTACCGCTAACGATCCTTACCCCAGCGGTGGGTAGCGGCATCACCGCTACAATCACTCCGCCAAAAAGCTTAACACTTTAGCTACATTTGGCCGATAGCTTGTGTTTCCTTAGAGTCAACATGAACAGAAACTGGGAACGAATCGAATTAGGTCTGAATCAAAATTTCAAAATCTTCCTTTAGAAAAAACTTACGCAGCGCTGTGCTAAACACCACCCGAATGCTGCGGTAAAAACAGATGCCAGAATTCGATCAAAAACAGTAATATCGACGTGATACAAATGAGCACTCCAGGAGCTCCAGCGATAAGTGGATTCATAAAAAATGGACGATCTGTCGCTGAAAAAAAAACATGTTACCATTCGGGCTCTTCATAAAGTTCGCGACCGGTTCAAGGTATTCTCGGTCGTGAAAAGGTCTGGTCCTCAGAAAATTTTAACAGAGTTGGGAGGTAACTTCTGATTCCCATCCCCCTACCTTTGTAAAACAATTTTTGTTTCATTGCAACATTGACTGGCGTTTTGGCTCTGTGACGTGACAAAAACTATGCAATTAATTTTCTTCCAATCTTGAGCTACCGAATTCAGGCAATGCCACGCGTACCAGCCTCTTGGTTGGACGCAGAAGTCTCAAGAGGACCATCTGACTTGAATGAGGACTCCATGCCAAAGTTGGAGGTCGAAGAAGGGGAACTATACTTGGTCAAAAGGCATGTGGGTCCCCAATGGTACGGGAAGATGTGCGTTCGCGAAGCATGTGCACGTAACCGCCCCAGCAGGACCGTACCTGCGCCGCTCGCGCCTCCGCACGCCCGCCAATAGGTGATCCCTTCCCATCTTCTAGCCGTTAAGCAGTGAAAGCGTTGAAGAGGGCACCACCGATAGGTTGCATCACTGTCAAAGGCCATGGGCAACGAAGGGGTCCATTTCACGAGTTTTTGGTGGCGATTTCCCCATGTTTTCTTCTCATCCCGCAACACTGGCCACCTTTCTTGATTGCTAAATGACTGGCTTTTCATCGAAAGTGCCGCCTTCAGGGCGCAGAAAGTTCTCACCAGTCACAGACTCTTTCCCATCCTATCCCATCCCTTTTATATGTAAAACCTGCAGCATCTTACTTGTGAAGAATTTTTACGATCTGCAGCAAAAAAAAAGGGTAGTGGCATCAA